TTAAAAACCTGATTATGATCTCCCTTAATAAGGCAGAAGTCCATTTTATTGTTTACATCATAAACACGTGTTTGTGGTGTGTGTTTTCGTTTTGTTTTGTTTTTTCTATTTTTTTTTAAAGCAAACTGTATAATTGTATTAAAAAATGAACACGATAACGTCAACATAATACATAATTCGTATTCAGTGGTAACAAAAGTTGCACAAGTTATTTTAAAAATTATATTTTGTTATTTAATTAGAATAAACAGGATAACATCTACAGAGAAATGCCCTTTGTTGCCCTACAGAGGTAAAATGTAGTGGAGCCCTTTAGAAATAAATAATATTTTGAGGGCCGCTTTGTTATACTGTAATGAAAAAGCGGTAAGTAGGTATACGTAAATCCGAGTTCCAAAAAGTTTTATAGTTTGTCATTTTCTAATTATGACATTTTAATTAGATTATAATTTTATAATCTATGTATTGCACATACTTAAAAATGGTAAGCAAAAATAAATGTTTTTGTTTCTTGTACAGTTTGTTTTTAAATATTCTTAACATATTTTAATATTATTTCTGAATTTAATTTATCACTTATTGCACATTTGTATGCATATCTATTTGAATTGTATTTTTACGATGTGTTTTGACACCGAGGCTCGTCTGACTGTATGTGATTTTATGAAAGTGTTTAAAAGCTGAATGTAACTTAAAATAAATATTCTAACGGGTATAAGCTAAGCGACCTAATATTCTTACTTCATTCATACAGCAATATGTGAATCTTATTTTTTTGCGCTGAAACTAATTAATTCATATAAAAATATAACCCTTTTCACTCTTTCATTACAAACATCAAAATATAAAATAAAAATTAAAAGATGTTTGAGACTGCGTCCTGCAAATTAGAAACGTATTTACGATTAAACACGATCTAGCGCATGCTTTCAATGAGAAAATAATCAACAATTTACAAAATATACATTTCATCAAGTTCCTGTGTTGTTTATACTTACAATCGTAATGTTTGACGTAAGAAAATTGTTATTTGGTATTATTCTTTGAACTCCAACGTCTATTAACGCCACCAAAACCATTACGTTACATTCCCTTTATTTTATTTTAAAACAGTAATAGCAAAATATCTTACGCGTTGACCCCATATTTTTATTGCATAAATATTTTCCTTCACTTTCTCGCTACACGCTAGAAAAATTAGAGCAAAGTTCACCGTGTTGAATTTTTTTTATTACACAATCTTTATTGCGATATCGCGCGGTATTTGCATCAGATATGGACGTCAGAATGTAGAGAAAAATGACGTAGAATCGCAGACTATTAAGCAAATGTTAAAGAAAGATATCATTACAAAGACATACATTTACTGAACACTATAAAATTAAAACGAAGGAAATCGGATGAAAATTGATAAGAACAGATTGGTTTACTGAGAAAAAGACGCAATTTCGCCGCCACCGATAGAGGGCGCTTTGACGTCACAGTAACGCTGTTTATTTATAAAATAATACTGCAGAAGTAAAGCTCACATATCTATAAGTTTGCATACAAAAAATCATCAAGATCTGAGATGTTGTCAAATTTCGGTCGGAAAGTAGCGAGCTACCTTAAACCAATTTGAAAGTTGGTTTAACTGTTATCAATGAAAATATGAAAAATAACCTTAATGATTCTGTGCTGTTAAATTAATAAAGCTAAATAGTAGCGAGCCCTGTTTTAATCTATATCAACAAAAATAAACATCTAATAATTCAAAATGGCTGCTACTTAAAACAAAGGAAAGATATTAATTAATCTTAATTAATTCTGTAAAACATAATTACTAATATTTCTTACAAATTAATAAAAAATGTTTCAATGAATTTAGATAATCTCTAAGGTTCATTTAAATGCTAAATAATTAATTGATTAACCTTAGAGAGCTTTTAGAGATGTTACTTTTCCAAAAATTAGCAGCAGAATGTCAAAATTGTGTAAAGTCCCTGTATTTATGCACATTACTGGGAACCAGAACTTTGTGTGGAACCAGTAAAATGCAAAACTGCTCTGATTGGTCAATGAATTTTAGCCAATCAGAGCTCATTAGGGCTTTACATAACTTTCCTAAAATAGGTTATGATTCATGGAAAATTTTGCAACTGAATCAATTGACCATGATTATAAAAAAATTTAAGTTTTACAAAATATTTGTAACAATAAAACTAGTAACTAATATCAACTAAACATATTTACAAACATATATAAATCATGTAAATGCTAAATTAACAATATGTATCTTACTAAGTTTAAAGGCCAGTGTAATTGAAAGTATAACCATTCTCTAAATATTGTATGTAAAGAGTCATAGGCCGTTAAAGAGTGTATCAATAAGTTCTACAAACTATAATCAACATTAAACTAGTGAATGATAAGAATGAAATGTCAGTAAAACAAAGCATGTTTGATAGAATTAAACTTTACAATAAATTTAAATAAAAGTTTAAACCCTTAATATTTATTTGAAAATATATATGAAGATTGTATATGATTTATTTCTTGAGTAATATTATGCAATATGATATTTTGATTACATAACATGTTGTAGTTGGAATCCAACTTCACAACAGGCGGAACTAAATAAAATGGAATTTTGAAAGGGGATCAGAGGTTATGATGAAGCCTGCATATCACAGTTAAGATGTCAAAAAACAAATTTAAAAAGCAGGCCACATATCCTAAGGGTGATTCAACAGTATTCAAATGAACCACCCAACAAGAAAATTGCCGAATAGAAATAACTAAATTACCACAAGCACAACAATAATGTCGTGCTGAACGATCTTTAAGGATCGGAAAAATAACATCTCTGATTGAATGTACGGGGCGACTTTTTACAGCCTCCACACGGCACAAACAACGCTGATGTGGCGATAAGATAGAGAAAATAAGAATCTTTAAAGAAAGCCCAACACAGCAAAACCTTAAATGGTCATTTATCAATAAATAAGCTATTTATTTCTAACAACGAAAATTGTTGTTTCTGGTGAGCGATCCAGGGCCATTGTGGCCCTTTTGTTAAATGATATCTGCTTCTTGCTTTGTTAATAATGATAGTTATGTAATTATTTCTAGCACAATTGATATTTAATTACATTACCATATTTATCTTTCGATTTTTACTTACTTTTATTTATGTCAATATCACAAGAGATGCAGCAGTCTTAATTAAGTGATAAGTCTAGTTTTAATACCTTTGTACTGTAAATGTAAATATGTATGCACTTTTATTTTCTTTAAATGGTAAGTTTATGTTATTTTTTATTATATAAATATACTCTGTTTCCAGAAACAATTGTATTTCCAATTTTTATCATCAAAATACTTACGTATAAGCATTTAGTCATTTGTTAAAGACTTCAGTGATATTCATTCTACAATACTGAATTTTCATAAAAAGGGCATTTGTAATTAAACTAATTTTTTAAACTTGGCATGATAACAGAAACATTTTAGGCTAAAGAAAATGGGGTCACCGTTCTCTTTTTTGAGTTATCTGCCCCTGAATAAGAATTATATACTTATTTGAAGTCATTTCAAAGGCTGATAATATCCATTAAAAATAAAAAATCTGACAATATGATAAAAAAAACTTCTTTTACGATTTCATGATATACTTGAAACAAAATCTGTTAAATTATATTGGATTCCAAGTCATGTAGGGATACGAGGAAATAAAAAAGTAGATGCCTTAGCTAAACAATCATTAAATTTTCAAAAAATTGACTTATTATTACCTGCTTGTGATTTTAGACCGGCTATAAATAAACTCGTATCATCTGAATGGAAAGCAAATTGGGACAATGCCGTTTTTAATAAACTTCACGATATAAACCAATCTCTTGATATGTCACCATCTCTATCTCTGTCAAACTGCCGTGATCAAACAGTTCTTCTTCGATGCCGAATTGGACACACTAAAATTACCCACTCTTATCTCCTCACAAATGACAATGCCTCTTTCTGTGTAGGTTGTAATGAAAATTTTACTGTCAAGCATGTTCTTCTTGAATGTCATGATTTTTCACAGGCCCGTAATAGATTTTATTCTGTAAATTCACTCAAAGAACTTTTTAATACAATTCCATCAAAAAACATCATTGATTATTTGAAAGAGAAAAACTTGCACAAGATAATGATTTAAATTCATTTTCGTTTTATGTGCTGTTTGCGAAATAATTTTCTAAAGGATTTCTTTTTTCAATTTATTTTAAATGCCCTGTCATTTGCAGGTACCATTGATGATTGAGAGGATGACAAGAAAAACCTCCCAAATAATCAACACAACCGTTTTATTCTCCTGTCCTTCAGATCAGATAGCAATTGGAGTTATCATAAATGTTCCATAACTAAAAAAAAAATTTTTTAAAAATTTAACAAGAATAATTTTTCGGTTTTTACTATATACATATAAGGAAAATCAATGACCCCTTGAGCGGGGCAAATTTTGAACCTATGGCTTTTTTTTTACAAATTTGTGAACATCCAATAGAAGATGTTTCGTGCCAAATATCTAAGCTCTAGCTCTTTCGGTTTCTAAGAAGAAGATTTTTAAGATTTTTGTAAAAGAATCTTCCGGTTGCCATGAAAACCAGAGTTCTTCATTGAATAATTCTTTGAACAAGTTTTGGTAGAGCTTCATGCAAGAAACATCCCTGCAAAGTTTCAATATATTTGGCCATGTGGTTTAGGAGAAGTTTAAAGAAGTTGTTGATGCACGGACGGACGATTGACGACGGACAATTGGCCATCACCAAAGCTCACCTTGAGGACATATCCCTCAGGTGAGCTTAAAATCATGACAATAAAAAAATGGATAACCTATGAAAATGAATCAAGTATCAGAATCATTATTTAGATAAAGTAATCATGATAATGAAATTGTAATTGCAACATGAAACAACAAGAGCACCGCTAGGCGGAGCATTATATGCCCGAAAGTGCTTTTTTTTTAGTAAAGATGAAGCATTTGTAAGACATGGGACTAAAATAAAGTATTACCTCCTTCAAATAACAATCCTCCTTTGAAGTTTCAATATTGTGGTCCAAATGGAACTTTAAGTTATGTCCCAGAAACTGTTTTCAATTCTAAGGTAAAAGTGACCTTGACCTATGAAGTTTGAACACTGTGGGCCAAATAGAACTTAAGTTATGCTCCGGAAACTGTTTTTAGTTCTAAGGTATTACTGACCTTGTCCTTTGACCTTGTGACCCCAAAATCAATAGGGGTCTTCTACCCAATATCGTCAATCATCCTATGAAGTTTGAACACTGTGTGCCAAATGGAACTTAAGTTATGCTCCGGACACTGTTTTCAGTTTTAAGGTCATAGTGACCTTGACCTTTGACCTGTGACCCCAAAATCTAAAGGGGTCTTCTACCAAATATGGACAATCATCCTATGAAGTTTGAACACTGTAGGACAAATGTAACTTAAGTTATGCTCCAGAAACTGTTTTCAGTTTAAAGGTCATAGTGACCTTGACCTTTGACCTTGTGACCCCAAAATCAATAGGGGTCTTCTACCAAATATGGACAATCATCCTATGAAGTTTGAACACTGTAGGACAAATGGAACTTAAGTTATGCTCCAGAAACTGTTTTCAGTTAAAAGGTCATAGTGACCTTGACCTTGTGACCCCAAAATCAATAGGGGTCTTCTACCAAATATGGACAATCATCCTATGAAGTTTGAACACTGTAGGACAAATGGAACTTAAGTTATGCTCCAGAAACTGTTTTCAGTTTAAAGGTCATAGTGACCTTGACCTTTGACCTTGTGACCCCAAAATCAATAGGGGTCTTCTACCAAATATGGACAATCATCCTATGAAGTTTGAACATTGTGGGCCAAAAGGAACTTAAGTTATGCTCCGGAAACTGTTTTCAGTTTTAAGGTCATAGTGACCTTGACCTTTGACCTTATGACCCCAAAATCAATAGGGGTCTTTTACCCAATATGGACAATCATCCTATGAAGTTTGAATATTGTGGGCCAAATGGAACTTAAGTTATGCTCCGGAAACCAAATTGCTAACGTTTTCAGTTTTAAGGTCATAGTGACCTTGACCTTTGACCTTATGACCCCAAAATCAATAGGGGTCTTCTACCCAATATGGACAATCATCCTATGAAGTTTGAATATTGTGGGCCAAATGGAGCTTAAGTTATGCTCCGGAAACCAAATTGCTAACGGACGGACGGACAGACGGACGGACGGACAGACAGACGGACGGACGGACGGACGCCAGGGGGTATAACATAATATGTCCGAAATTCTTTCGGGCATATAAAAATTGCATAATCTGCCTCCTTTTTGAAGCCTTTTGAATACTTAAGATAAAAAGTCTTTTAACTTTGGAATTTGCTCGTTACTGTACAGAAAGTAATAAACGTTTCACGCTGAAAAATCAACTAAAAAATGGAAAGATTCTAACAATAAACAATATAGTTTCTTATTTTCACATCAAAAATAAATATTAACCATTAGATTTTGTTATTGTTTTTTTTTCTAGTAACTAAAATAAATAAGAGGTTCTTTTTTACTTTTTTGTCTCTTTAAAAAATTAAAAACAAGTTTTATCATTATATAATATAAGGACATGATGACATAATTTTACTCTAGTTTCACTTATAAGAGAGAATGCTAACACACGAATAATAAAGCCCAGTATGACAAAAACAAATTTGATTGATTCCCTCCTTTATGGCGAGTTACTGCTACATTACGGCTATTGAGATTCTTTCCAGTTTTATTCTCGTCTCGTGCCAATTGCAATACATGCATTCTTAGGGAAATAAAATCCAATTCTAACATAACAATTTTTATTTAACTTAATTTGATTTTTTTAGCATTGATTTTGGTATTGTTTCTTGAGTTACCTAAACAATTTCGCGTTGCTTGATTAAAAAGAAGGCGTAAATCAGAAAAAAACTAAAACTTAATTTCCGCATCGAAATCTTTGTTCATCGCAACGTTTTAAATCTTAAAATGTTCCTGCAAATGAATTACAGTTAAATGAGGCTTTTTAATGAGTACCAAGCGTCGTTTCCTCCGTAATTGAATCACAATTATAGGAGATGAAACCAAGTTTGAAACGACACTAGTTAAGTCATAGTCTTTCCGTTTTAATTTTGTTAAACTTCTTTGACGATTTTTATACTCTATATAAAGATTATTTTTCTATTTTGAGCTTTATGGGCCCCTAAAAGGGGCCATTCAAATTAATAAAAAAGGGGCCATTCAAATTAATAACATGATAAATAAATAAACTATCAAGGTTGCTAATAAGGACAAAACAGCACGACTCTGGTGGGACAAGATTTATTAACTTGATCCGCTCAATCCGTAAGTTTTTGCGACCAAACATTGTGCACTTGTGATAAAGATTCAAATACATATGAAAATACATCTTTGGCATTAAAAATTGGACATCTGTTGAAACAAAATGTGCACAGATATACAAAGCTGATTCCTTTTAATTTCTGGCGATAGGGGTGCTATAAAAAGAGTAGAGAGATTTCTTACATAGAGCGAGGAAGAATGGATTGACGCAATCTCAAGCTCGACCCTTCAGACCCTGTCTATTGATAAAATAAACAAGGGACATATGTTACCTCTTTAAGACGACGTCATGAAGTTGCAGAATTATTTTAAAATCAAACTCAAATCAGTGATTGAAAACTTACAATCCTTTTCATAACATGACTTGAAACCATTAAACAAAATATGTTTGGCTCGACTGGTAATGTTCAACAGGAGACGTGCTGGAGAAACTCAGAGATTTACTATGAAATTTACAAGAATGGAAGGAAACCTGAGACACCACTGGAGGAAATTGAAAGTTCATTGAGTAGTACTGAAAGTGCTCTGTTGGCAACACTCACCAGAGTAGAAATACGAAAGGGCGAACTGTGCTTGTTCTACTTGCTCAATCTATTAAAATACCATTGATCTTCTTGTGAAGAAGAGAGATCAAGCTGTGGTGCACAAAGACAACAAATACCTTTTTGCCAGACCTAACTTTGATTCAATTGCTCCATCCGTAGTTCAGATGTCCTTGTAAGATTTTCAAAGGGAATAATTTGTCATTTTCACAGAATATTGGTTTAAACATATTTATTTAAGCTCGATTGCGAAACAAGTTCTTGCAACTTATATTAATAACTTTCGAGTCCGCTTCCTGGAACTAGTACTGGTGTCATATGAAGAAACATGGTCGAGACCCGAGTTGGGCTCGAACCCATGATCTCTGGGTTGAGAGGCAGACACCTTAACCACTAGGCCACCGCTCACACAGAATATTACAAGCACAAAATTAAGAAAGCATTTAGCCACAGTCTCAAATTTTAAAATTGGAAGAAAATGATTTTAAACATTTGGCTTCCTTTATGGGACATGACGTCAGGGTGCATAGGTAATTTTGTCGTCTGCCACATGAAACTATCCCGGTTGCTCGAATTGGACGCGTCTTAACAGCATATCATAATGGTTCAATAGGTATATACACTGGAAAAAGTATTGATGAAATCACTTAAGAGTAAGTTTTTACCCGCCCACCTTCACCCCTTGAAAAAGATAATGGCATACTTGCGTCTGTCTGTCTGTTCACGTTCAGTTCCTTTGCAGTGGTTGCACATACTTGTATACTGTATTTTCATAAGAATATTTAGATAAGTTCTGCTGCGGGTACGATCCATCCATTTGGAGTTCTGCCCCTTTAACTACAAAAATTAAATTTTTTGCAGTTTACTTATATTTTCATCACAGAAGTTGCACGTCCTGATTTCAAATTTTGTATACAGATTATTATAAGAATATCTAGGTACATTTAGGATTTTGAAAGATCAATCAACTTTTGACAGAGTGGTCCTCCTGGGCTCCTTGCCACTGGCTCTTGTTACTGGGTCGGGTGAGGGTTGCGTTCTTTGAACGCCGCCTTTCCTTGTTAATCTTGTTTATCATAGTTTATGCCCCTTGGAATTGGAAAAATATCCAATTTTAAAGACACATATCCAGGCTCATGTTTAGATCATATAAAGTTTTATCATTAGTTTTGCTAAATACATACCATACATGATCTGTACAGCCAAAATATTATTTGGACCACAACTGTGTCATTCATTAAATACAGAGGTTATCTAATTTAATAAAATAAAGAATAGAATAACAAAAACAGGTAAGTTAAACAGCGTAAGCGCAACTTTTCTTATGGTCTAATAACCAAAGTTTATGCAACCTATAGTCCAAAAAAACATTTTTTACATGCTTGATAGGCAGATTCATCTCAGATAATACTTGTAGATGACCCCATTTTATTTAAAGTTCAAAATGTAAATTCCATGGACTCAGTCCACATTGTATACTGTGGCGGCATAAGTGATTTACAAACATCTTTTGCTGCATTTTGTTTTGTTTATCATCTGCATTTAAGTGAGGAGGAGAGTACATCCATATGTTGCTCTGTCTGCTCGTAACAGTTTCATATTGTCTAAATACCTTTTTACTTGTATGACTCTTAAATATCTTGGTACCTTAATCAGACAATATGTAGTTAAACACTTAATTAGCATTAGATTATGTTTTCAGAACAAATCTAAAAAGTATTTGAAGGATTTAATGAATTCCACATAAATGAATGCAAACAAGGTTGTATTCAGTCCAATCATAAAATTGAATATTGCACGTTTACCTCATTGTGCACTATTGTTATGATTTTATAAAAGCCCCTGTCACACTAGCACGGCATTCCCACGGCGTCCAAAGAAAATTCAGAACGCCGAAGAGAGCACAGTAAGATCGCAAACATCGCCGTAGCATCGCAGTGGCATCGCATAGAACGCCGACCGACGGCGCAGATTTTGAGCATGCTCAAAACAGACGCTGTCACTCGGCGTTCTAAAAAGAGCGCAGTGGGATTGCAGTAAAGACGCCGTAACAGCTCTTTAGCATCTCCTATCACGCAACAGGAGGGTCGTGAAAGTGCAAAGCGAACGCCGAATTAACGCGGTGGTTATCCACGGCGCTTGTACGGAGATGTGCGGCGTTTTGACCGCTCTAATAGTACGCAGTGCATGATGCTTTTACAGATTTAAGTTTTCAGCGCAATGTTAGCGCCGCGACAGCGCTGTATGAGCGCCGTACATGTGCAGTGAAAGTGAAGAAAACGCCGTAGAAGCGCAGTTCGAACGTAGACAATCGCTAATTCAAACGCCGTGGAAGCTCCGTAGCATCTCCATGATCGCCCTGAGAACGCCGTGAAGACTCCGTGAAGTTTTTATGTCCTCAAAAACATCACATTTTTATTGCGATCCCGCAGCGATTTGTTTAATTTAACAGCGCCGTGCAAACGCAGTGAAAGCACGGTTTGGTGTGACAGGTCCTTAATCAAAAGACAGTTTCATGCGTTCATTGAACGCTTTCTTTCCTTGCTGATCTTGTTTACAATATTTTTTGAGTATGCCTGAATTGTTTAACTGTACCAAACTTATTCTTCCCCCCCCCCCCCAAAAAGTAGTGTGTTGATTCTTTTATTTTGACAGTTTGTAGGGAGCATACATTGTGTATATGTTCTATGTAGAGTTGTGTCTTGGATATTAGCAAATGACTTGAGCAGTGATGATAAAGAAGTGGGTGATGATGTAGATGATTCATTTTATTTAATGTAAAAACTTTAACTTGTTTTGTTAACTTAAACCTCACACAGAACTTGTATCAAATAAGTCAATGTATTTTGACTGTGGTTACTACTTGACATATGTACTCAAGATAATATTGATACATGATCGTAGCGTTCTTGACAGTAACTTCTGATGATACGATTTTATACTGATCAATATAAGTATAAACTAATTCACATAACCAAAATCAGTATGGTTTAACGATATTTAATTTCTCAACAGTTAATCATGAGAGGGACACAACACAGTTTGTGTAATTTTTTCATAAGAGTTTCTTACGGTGGCATATAGCGATTCACTTGTGTGAACTTAAATTTAGCAGGATTGTACCTTGGGTGAAGAGCTTCCACATTGTTTAAAGAATTTGATTTCATGCAGGAATCTGGTTGCCATGGCAAAGAACTTATAATGAAAAACGAAATCTTCTAAAGACCCACAAGGCCAAGAGCGTTGATATTTTGCAAAAGGTATTGTCTAATAGACCTCTTCCAGGATTATAATGATTGCCCTTGTGTCAAGTCGCAAAGTCAATGGTTTTTATGTGTACATGTAGTAACAACTACACTAGTGAGTGTCTATAAAGTTGGTTCAAATATAAGCCCTGAGATCAA